GTCGACTGTGGCTGTTAATTAAACATATCAACATATAAACATATTTACATATTATACATAATTGTTTACTATAATTATCAAAATATTAACATCTTATTACTTACGATCCCTCCACTCATAATTTCTAAACGAAATAATAATGTCGAAAAAAAATATATATATATATATATAATAAATGTATAAGAAGCAAATGAGATATGTAAGATATGTTGAGGTTATCTGCGACTATCTTTATCCTTTCCGCAAAATTGCAGCAGTAAAATTATAGCGAAACGGCACAAAAAAGAGCGGAACGGCTGTGATTGGTCGTGCTGGTTCCGCATGTTCCATTCCGCGGAGAATTTTCGCCCCATGGGACATCGGCCTGACTCCTTATGACAATCGCAAAATTGTCACTAATAAAAATTTATTTCTCTGAAGCCGTGTTATGAAAATTAATCAAATTCTGCAAATAGTTCCGATAATTTAGGGCTTATAAAAATACTTAAATTTTTTGTACTATTTTTTCTATACATTTTTATTCATTACATTCAGGAAAGTTGCTTTTGCCAGAACACGTGTAAAATCAACATAATAATTACTCTAACGGTTTAGTGAATCGGCTTGAAATTTTTTTCAGTATATTATAGATAACGAGTGCGGCCCAACAACCGTTACAAATGCTGCGCAGCGTTTCTCCCTCTATTCCTCGGATTCGAATGAAGAAAGACAAAGAAGTAAAAATGCTATAAAGCATTTGAGATTGGAATTCGTAATAGATACCTCGGTACTTTGAATGAAAAGACAATAGAAAAAAATCTGAGTCCAAGTGAAATAATAAGAACAATTGTTACACACATATAGTATAAAAGTATAAAAAACATGATGATATCAAGATGCAAAAGTATAATTTGCATAGATCAGATAATCGCACGATTTACATTTTTCTAATCGAGTAATGTCGATAATGGTGATGATGGTAACGATGGCGATGAGGGTCTTGCAGTAAGTGTCTCTAGTTCACTGTAATAGGATGGACATGCAGCGCTGGATGTGCCAATAGTCGATTCTCCGATCATTTTTCCCCGATCCTTGCAAGCTCTTCTCGCTTGATCGTCGTTATTCTCTTCTGCTCCTTCACTTGTGTCTTCATATTTGATTTTAAAACAAATCAATGATTTCAACCTGCAAAGTAAATTAGTCGTTAACTCTTTAAGTATCACTGATATCAATATAGACCACTTAGGATCGGGTAGTTGAATCCTTATAAATGTGCTATTTAAAGTGTTTTTGACAATATTTCATTAAAAAAAAAAGTTACTAGAATGTTCCATGAATTATGCGTCTTAAATGGTTAAATATGCATGTGTATATATGTACACACATTTAATTGCACAAGAAAAAATGTATAACGAACCGGGGATATTTAAACTGAGCGAAATGTGAAGATGGTCCCATGAGTGCCAATACCGAACACATAAACAATGTGGCATATATCCAACTTATTGTCATAATGAGCAGCAAAAAGATGCCTATTTGTATATACGCCATTACACGAGAAGGTAACATGAAAGCGCCTGCAGCTCCACTAGTAATCGCCGCCATGAGGGTTGGACCACCCATTTGCTGCAGTGCTGTTTTGACTCTGTCCATTCGCTTTTCAGAAATGCAGGTTTTATAACTTACAGCATAATGCAAACTGTAGTCTACAGCAAGACCTGCAGGTGAAATAAAATAGGCATCACAGATAACATCTTGGCATGTAGCAAAACAGTTTCAAATTGAAAGCGACCTATGCTCCAACTTTTATTGCTTTTATCATTCGATTATTTACCTATTGCTGTAGAGATTGCAACACTCTCCAAAACGTTGAGTTTCCAACCCAACAGGATGAGTATGGCAACTGTAACTATTATCGCAGCACCGACAGTTACAATAGCATACAGGCTGACGAGAGGGTTTAGAGTCACCACTGCTAATACTATCAGAGCCAAGATTAACGATACTCCTATTGCTCGTATGGTACCTTCGTGCAATGTACGTTGCAATTCGAAAAATTCCAATTGACTAACGAAAAAACCACGTTTCATTCCTGGCGGAGCACTCTCCAATTTTTCTCGCATCCAACTTTCAACCTATGATTGAAGTTTGCTTTAATTAATAAAATTCACTATCTTTATAAATATAAATAAATAAATTATATATATATATGTGTGTGTGTGTGTGTGTGTGTGTGTGTGTGTATAAGCATCTCTACTGATTTACTGACAGCGCGGTCTGCGACACTTACCTGATTAAAAAATGTATTCATACTCGTAAACGAAGAAGTATATGTGTACGAGCTGTCGTATTCAACAATAAGCGCTTTAATTTTAGGTGTTGCCTTCGTCAAGTTTGTGTCGTTTAGCAGTTGCGAAGACAATTCTTTTGCAAATTTCAGACCTGCAGAAGCTACGTCACTTCGAATCCACAAATAGGATGGTGTGCGATATAACTGTGCGGTTGCTTCAGCCGCACACTGTTGTAAAACATTCGGTTCGTACGGAAACTTGCTGCTTTCGCAGCACGGTGTGTAGTCTATGCGAGAATCGAAAGGATCTTTACAACGTCTCTGCATCCATGGACGTAATGACTCGATAAAACAATTTTGCAGCAAAGGTCCCATTGTGATGCGATAAAAAGGCTGACTTCGTAAATCCTGACAAAACTGTTCGAGCCATAATTGTGACGCCGGATCCGTAATATCAAAAGTTTCGTCGTATTCTGTTGTTCCTTTTCTACCGGGATCGAGGTAATCACCATTATCGATAGGCTCAATACCCCACACAAATCTTAATGGTAGAATCTCCGTCGAAGCATCACCACCGACCTGTATTGATATAACATTTTCAGTACATATCTATTATCTTTTCCTACATATCTATTATAACAAGACCAAGATAATGCGCGCCTGGCGAACCGAATGAATTGATAAAGGGGAGAATGAGCAACATGAAAGAGAGCGTACACACACCATTTCGTATCTCTCGAACCAAAATTTTTTCGAATATATCTGGTCGTATTGTTCGAAGGGATGTGCATTGTCGAACAATTGAAAGTCGATATAGTTTGGCAGTTGCAAACCGGGATAACGGAAGACGACGAGACAACACATTATCGCCACACCCCCGAGAGTTAATATCCAAACGTATCGCAAACGAATCACTATCCTAGTGAGAAGAGCGGTAAATCCCACTGTCACTTGATTCCCGAGGGATCGCAGGAGACGAAGAAATCTCTCGCCGATAAAATTTGGCGGAGATAGGTTCAATTTGCAACGTTCCGATACAATTACACACGCAGGTAACCAGGTGATCATGAGGAGAAAATTGGCAATAACCGTTATGCCTGAAAATAAACTGCATCCAAAATTAAGATTGCACTATATTTGCGCGTGTGCACAGGGTTACATCCACATGTGCAAACTTTTCTACTCATACCTGAAACAGTTGATGGCGGTCACGTTACTGACACTTGATGCAAAAAAGGCTACTGCTGTCGTAAGAGATGTGACCAACATCGCAGGGAAAGCATGTCTCATAGTTTCTTGTACCACACATACCAATCCATCGTCAGAGGAATGTCTCCGCTGCCTCTTAGATTCCCATATCTTGCAATATATGAACGCATCGTCCGCACCAATACCTGCACCGATGTAAAAGGCCACAATAGTCGTTTTGCAGAATCTTTCAATAAATCAATATTTCTATAGATTTATCTGAGAGATATACCTATAGCTACAACGATAGCCAATAAGTTCATGAAAGGAAAGAACTGAATCCGTAAGACGAGTGTATACACTGCGTAGGAGATACCGAGACTAAACACAACCGCTAAAATTGTCGTGATAGTTAGGATTATGGAGCCAGTGTATATCCAAATGGAAAGTGTAACAAACACAAAACCAGCGAGCAACAAACTCGAGTCGGACACTAACAGTCGATCAAACAGCGTGCTCTTTAAGCCAAACTGCATTCCTTGCACACGAATCCTTCCATGTGTCAAGTTGTCCTTTTTCCTATCAATCTCTTTATAGAAATCTAAAGTCGCGGAACTCGCCGCAACTGGAAGAAACAACATGACGGATTGCAGCGTCGAATTTTGCTTGTTGTCGATGTCGGTATTCTGTAACGATGCAAATAAAGTTAGGATATGTTCATTCGATACCGTTCGATAGTTGTTCATGTTCTTACATTTGTAGGTGGAATAAAGTCAGCGTCCAAAAGATAATGTAGCAGATGATAGACTACGTTTTTCGTATAACATACGCTCGGCATGTGTTTCGGACAATTGGCATCATCCGCGCAATTGGCCGACAATTGGCGACTGTGATAATAACGAGCACATTGTTCCAAAAGTGCCTTCACCCTGCTGAGATCAGTTTCCGTTACTTCTAGACAAGAATTGCGGTTGGACAAAAGTGCTATGTAGTTGGCCGGTGACCAGCTTCTACAACATTTATTTTGCGCACTATGCTCCACTTGCGTCTGACATATGGACGCAAAGTGAGTATTCGCACGAAGTACACCATCAATGTGACATTGTGCCAATACACCTTCTATCGACCACAGATTAATCTCTCTCGAATCTGCACCAATTACAACACGAGCATAGGAAGAAGTTGGCAAATTGCAAAAAAAATTATCCTCATTGGAACCATCCTTATTTTTGTCATTCGCTATATTATTTACACTGTGCCTGTTTTCCAGTAATTTGTTCCATGTTTTTTTAGCCTTATTGCTCATTTGTTTGTGACTCATTGTGCTATTTTGCAATTTATGCTTCTTTCGCTTATGTTTGTCTATTGGTGCTTTTCCAAGAGTATCCTGAACAAGCAACTTATGATTTGGCATATTTTTGTACTTGGACTGTAAGATCAAATTGGAAAGTTGAGTATTTCTCTTAGTCGTTTATCACGCAGCAATTTGTACAGTTCTCAATTGAGAACATAAATATGCATATACATATGCAATATCAAATATATACATATATATCGCTTGGAAACAAGGATATAGAGTTGTAGAAAAACAGGAAGAAAAAAGAAAAATTTTACCTTAACAGATATCTTTTGGCTCAGTAGATATTGATGATACTCCAAAGGATTATCTATGAGATCTCCGCTTGCCCTTGTAGATTCCATTAAATTTTGCCATGCTGTGAATCTTTGTGCCAAAATTGTACCTCTGGCCTCAAAACCCTGCAGTACACACACACACATACGGTATAAATTCGGTCGATGCATATACAATATTTTATACAAAGCTTGCATCACTAAGTACCATTCTGGGATCCGTGAAATCAGGAAACTTTTTGATCGCAAGTGGAATAATTACACACATTGTGGAAAATAAGAAAACAGTAGTCAAGATAATATACGGATGATGAGCAACCATGCGGGGAAAACACATTTCCGTTTGTACGATGTTACGTGCCCTTGTTCTTCTCTGTGTGTCTTGTGTCATCTTTATTTTACATCAATGAATCTCTGTCTGTGAGCAAACTGCATGAAAACAAATGAATTTCTGAAAGAACCATCATAATTAATTAATTCTTGTTATCAAACGTTCGAAAGCTCTCGAACAATCACTATCAAAGCATTTTATTAAAGTTTATCCGCAAATATAATATATTTTGCAGAATTTTACTTTAATAATCCTTATTTGTATTATTGTCGCATTCTGTGAAACATTTCGCTTTTATGACAATTTTAAACGAGGCTTCCGAAAAATCAATTTGATCCAACGGCTCGCGAATGTCTAATGATTATACAAATACGAGAAATTTTGATCATTTTAGGCAAACCTAACTCTCTCTTATACTTTTCTCCTTATTCTCATAATAAATCAGCATTTAACGCGTCGTGTTAACGTCGAATTCTCTAAAGAAAAACACCTTGTGTATTAATTTGAAATAAGACATTTGAAATAATAAGACATGTTTACGCGCTACACACGTGACCAGACTGAAATATGCGCAATTACCCATATATGTAATACCATTTTATTGCTAGTCGCCCTATGCTACCTGAAAAAGGAGTTTGTCCCCAGAATGGGAGGACAGACGATGTCCGAGAAGGGTATTTTAACAGTAGTGCGTAGGCGCGGCAATCAGATGATGTTATATATATATATATATATATATATATATATATATATATATATATATATATATATATAAAAGGTTTGTTCGCGTTGAATGCACCAACGTGCTTCTACTCGTTTCAACGTACTCTGATTGGTCCGCGTGGCTATGTGAACCAATCAGAGTGCGTTGGAGCGAGTGGGAGCACGTTGAGACATGCGACGCAAACAAACCTCATGTATACTATGGGTGCGTTCCCACTTAGCGCGTCACGCGACGCGTCGTCCTTTGCAGACCAAAAAAAAATCGTCCCATTTTATTCGTCGTAAAGTTAGGCAATAAAATGGAACGGTTTGATTGGTCCGGGACGGATGACGCGACACGTAACGTGCTAAGTGGGAACACACCCTATGGGTGCCATATATATAAAGCCGGGAGCGGTGCACTTGGACACAGTGCATTTGGACACAGCCAATCACAGCACCGTGTGATTAGAGACATTTGTAGGGTCCCTTGGACACAGCGACTTGTGATTGGACTGTGTCCAACTGATATACACCCTATAAAGCCAGCGGCACACAATGTTTGTTTTCATGCTGAATTGCTTGCTGGATGGAAATACTTTGTTCTGATTGGTGCATTTCTGAAGACGGACCAATCAGAATAGAGTATTTCCATCCAGCAAGCAATTCAGCACGAAAACAAGCATTGGCTGCTTTCCAGTTGCGTATACCGTGTTACACAAAACCAGTTTATTGGTTGCATATTATCTTACAAGATATTTTAGATAATATGTGACCAATAAATTGGTTTTGTGTACGTGTGTGTCAAGATGTGTTAAGCAATTGGAAAGCACCTATTGGCTTGGTTTACATTGTCAAAACGTTAGTACGCGTATTAAATTTGATGCGCACCAATGCTTTAATACGAATGCGTTTACATCAAACGTATTAAAGAAAAAATATAATACGAATTTAATTCACGTCGTTTACCTCCTAGTGGTGGCATTTGGAATTGCAATTTGCTTAAGATAGCTTCGACCGACAGAAGGAATGTATAATTCTAAAAATGTGCTCGTTTCTTCTCTCCTTTTTTACAAGACATTTTACTATAATTTGAAACCAACGGTTACCGATAACACCAGTTTTAATTAGGTTAGGTTCCCTCCAACATTCGTTTCATACGTATACATCGTCATTTGTATCATTTGATACGCATATTAGTTTAGTGCGATACTCCTACTTGACACGCTCGCACTAAATTGATCCGTCAATGTTTACATCGTGTATATTAAATATTTAATACGAATTTGATACGAATATAGTACCTGATATGCGTATCAAGTGCACGATGTAAACCAAGCCATTGTGTGCCGTTGGCTTAATACTACTATATGACGCGTAGAGGAATTTTTGTTATAAGAGAGAGAGACAGAGTGAAAGAAGACTGAAGGATAGAAGATGGACGGTAATTGGCTCACTAGAAAAGAATGTTCTACGATCGCAATGTGCAAGCGTGACGATAAAATGTAAACATATGTAAACATAGCAACGTCTTTTCGACGTTGGTCGACAAGTCATTTCTTACTGGAAATGTATTAAAGAAACTGAGTAATTGATAATAAATAAGGAAAATAAATATGGAAAGTGTCTATAACGTTGTGTGTATGAGGTTAGTTTCGGTAAGACATCAGGTCTAGAGAATCTCTAGTACAGAGAATCGCTAACTTGGTCATGTGACCAGCTACTCAGCTACTCTGCGATTGGCTGGCATAAATATGTACAGATTTGGACATTGCGACGCCGATGCAAAACCATATATATAAAATATATATATATTTATAAAATATATATATATATATATATAAAAGCATTGTTCTGCATTGGCGTCGCAATGTCTAAATCCGTATATATTTATGCCAGCCAATCAGCTGATCACGTGACCAAGTTGGCGATTCTCCGTACTAGAAGTTCTCTAGTCAGGTCTAATCGTATTGGCTTATACCATGATGGAAGGGTAAACGTTACGCATGCGCTTTGCACAGACAGAACACTGATATTGATACAGAAAAAGACTTTGTTTACACGGTAGCTTAAAACCGGTTTAGTAACTATCGTAGTTAGTGAACTCTTGAATCCGATTGGAATATATTTCTAGATATAAAAAAATATATCAATTGGATGCGAGAGTTTACTAAATACGGTTGTTACTAAACCGATTTTAAGTTACCGTGTAAACTTAGTCAAAGACAAACGAACATTGTCTGCATCGTAGTGTTGCGGTACCGTTGAGAGCTCTATGCGCCATATATTGAGCTGTCAGAATATATGTAATACTAATGTCCAAATCCGCATATATTTATGCCAGCCAATCAGCTGGCCACGTGACCATGTTGGCTATTTTCTTTACTAGAGGTTCTCTAGGGCTGTGTTCGGAAACGTTACCTAAGTGTACTCATTGCGTTGGAGTGAGCGAAATACAAAAGTGATAGCATGTTCGACTAGTTCTGAGACACTATAAAAGAGATTGGACATGAGACCCGTCCGCCATGTTTATGCTAAATCCTGCGAGGAAGAAAGTCATATACACTATTTCACTTTAACTTGTATAGCATGTTCGACTGGCTCTGGAACGGGAGAGTCCCGATTGCCTACAGTACGCAATTATTTCAATACCAACTACAGTACGATTGCACACAAATCAATCGATGATAAGAATTATCTAGTGAATTACCAGATCGAACCAATTATTACAATTTGTGGTCAATCTTACTGTCGGCAATCGGGACCCTCCTCTCTGGAGCGAGAAGTACTTATTAACTTTGAAACATTTGAAACTGTGTTAAAAGTTAAAATTGATATGTCTTGTATTTGAAAATTAGCGGAAATGGCATAAACATGGCGAACCAATCAGAAGATGATTTCACATGTCCAGTCTCTGTTATATAACATGGCTGCGTTCCGAAAAGCACTGCCAGTACTGAAAATCTATAGTTCATGTTACGTATATTATAGGATTTCAGTACTGGCAGTGAATTTCGAAACGCAGCCCATGTTCGACTGACCCTGGGTCGAGTAATGGCGTTGGGGCATGAGTCACTGATACGCCTCTAGCCAAATATTGAAGGAAGGAAGGAAGGAAGGACTGACCCTGGGTTAATCGCTCCGAGAGTGATTTAGGGCCAGTCGAACACGCTATGAAATAAAAATCGAGGGAAAATACTCGAGTGATGTTTCCGAACGCAGCCTAGCAGTGCAACTACAAAGAACAGGCCTATATATATCACATTTGCAGAGTTACCCAAATAATGGCAGCACCAATCAAAGAAGAGAACACGATCCGCTCCACTCTGGCCGTGTTCCGTTTCACGCATATGCGCACATGTATCTATAGTTCGTGTTACGTATATTAGCTGCGTTCTGGGGGTCGATTGTATATCTTGAAATGGAGTGAAAATTACAAAAGTGAGTAAATTCACTAGGCATTGACCAATGAAGTTACAAATATTCTAGTAAATTTGCTCATTTTTGTCATTTTCACTCCGTTTTAAGATACACAATCGACCTCCTGATATTCACTGCCAATATTGAAAATCTATAGTATACGTAACATGAACTATAGATTTTCAGTACTGGCAGGGAATATCGGCCATTATAGACAATACGCGCATAAGGGCTATCGCACACAAATTGACATAACTGCATATGCATAGCATAAGACCGTATGTACCAATGAGCATCGAGTATTAAGTCGCCATATTGATGTTCGATGCTTAATATTCGATGTTCATTGGTCCATACGATCATATGCTATGCATATGCAGTTATGTCAATTTGTGTGCGATAGCCCTAATGCGTGAAACGAAACGCAACCTCTGGGGTGCGTTCGAAAACATCACCCGTGTGTATTTTGTCACACTCAGATCGTTCGAAAACCCCTAGTACGCACACTGACCATGCGACCATGGCCGTTCGAAAACCGTACTCCGTGGACCACTCGTGTGACTTTTCTCCACTCTCTTTTGCGCGGTGTGAATCGGTGGAGATGGTGGAGAGTGCGCAAAGAGTGCAATACAGTATGAAATTACTAAATTATTTATGGTTTTTTGTTCTTCGAAACATTCGTACAACCATTAGCCATCACGGTAAGATAAAAAATTTAAATACAGCAGTGTAGGTTAGCCAGGTTTAGGTTTATTTCTATAGTGATGTATATTGTCAGAATATTGTCTTTAAATATAAATAAAGCTTATTAAGCTTTTTGTATTTTATAGGTTCTGAAATTTTCTTACGAGATACGAGGCACGTTAAAAGTCACGAATCAGTAACAATTTGTGAAAAAAAATGGAAAATTTCATCCCGGGTCGTCATATTTTATGCATGGATATTAAAAAAAATATACAAAAGGATGACAAGGGAAATGTCTATATATACGATGTTAAAGGTAAGGAGTAATAAATAAGTTTATAAATTTCCTTAGGCCTGGTGCCCACGATGCTAGAAATCGATCCGAGTTCTCGGACCGAGGAATATATAATCAATTAACTTTCCAGATAACTAAATTATAAATTAATAATTACTAAATTAATTAATTAATTAATTACTAAATTTATTAATTTATTATTATTTTGCTGAGAAGCAATTATAGCTAATGTCGAAATACGCTTTCGATCATTTTGTACAACATATGTAGGCACAACACACATGTAGTATGTCACATTGAGCATTCTTCCATGGCTGTTCGAAAACTCCTCTCGATACCAACTCCACTAACCCCACCAAGCCCATCCACCACAGCCACTTTCCGTCGTGGACTTTCAGTGTTTTCGAACGCACCCCTATCTAGATTCTCTCTGACATATACTATAGAATTTCAGCATTGGCAGTGAATTTCGGAACGCAGCCCGAGTTTCTATGCGATGTTGAAAATAGAGATAGTATCTTAAGCGCGACACGATCTATTTTACATATTCCACGTATGTGACACGACCAGTTAGAAAATACTCGTCAGGACTGTCAAAGCTGGATCGCTGAAATAAATAGTTATATACAAATAGTTCGAGATTAGATCTTTAAAAATATTTTTATTCTCTTCGTATAGTAGAAATATACTGTGCTTTTCATATTACATACGCGCATATATCGTTTTTGTTACTATCCTTTAGCCGAAATCGTAGGATATTTGAGTAAGTATTAACCAGTGAGACGTGCCTATATATAATATCATCCTACGTTACGTCAAATTCAGTATGTAATCTGATGTTTACATTTCAGCAGCAGTGTAAACTTGTAGGTTGATGTACTTTAAAAACGACATAATACATGCAATTGTATATTATATCATCTTATTACGATTCGATTAATGTTACGACATAGTAGTTGTACATGAACGATTTCTACGCGCTAAGATGAGTCTCATACCCACTGGAAAGATGCTTTATCGGCTACTTCTAGCGATCTTGCTCTTTCATTCACAAGTAGATGGCAATTATTTCAATACCAACTCCAAAAGAAACGATCAATGCTTCTGCAAGGTAACGGCTGTCTATAGTTACCTTCGGTTTCTTTTTATGCCTTGTGTATGTGTCGTTTGATCTCATTTCTCTCTCTTAATGTAACTTAACCTAACCAAACCCACAAATGCCAACTTCGTCAACATATAATTCGAGAGATGCTTCAACCTCAAGTTGAGAAAATTGCATTTTTACATTGTATTTTCATTTTTCTCACATATATTCCTTCAATATTGTATTTGTGTTTTGAAAATATCGAAATTTCAGTTGAAAGGTTCCATAGACGACTGCACCTGCAATGTAGATACTGTAGACTACTTTAACAATATGCGAATATATCCGAGAATTCAAAGTCTTCTAGTCAAAGATTACTTTAGATTCTATAAAGTAAACTTAAAACAAGACTGCCCATTTTGGGCAGATGACAGCAAATGCGCCATACGTTATTGCCATGTTCTACCTTGTCAAGATGTAAGTACTCTTTGCATCACAATATTCTTAATGTTGTTTCATTTGTTGTTATTTCTTGCAGGATGATATTCCAGAAGGTTTAAAGGGAGAGATTCCAAGGAATATACATTTAAATGAAAGTCCACTAGACAAATATAGAGCCAATGCACAATTTACAGACTGTGGGCAAAGTGCGAGAGATCACAATATAGAACTTGGTTACTTGAACACAACAATTAGGTAATTGATACAATAGTATATTATACAATACATATTATACAATAGTTTACCAGGTGAATATTGAATATAGAATATAATATCAATTACAGTGTGGAGAATTACAAAGAATTTGAAAGATGGCAGCAGCACGATGATGCCCAGGATAATTTTTGTGTAAAAGAATCCAGTCCTGGGGAATATGTGGATCTTTTACTCAACCCTGAAAGATACACAGGATATAAAGGTGCCAGCGCACATAGAATATGGCGGAGTATTTACATGGAGAATTGTTTCAGGTGATTCATTATAGTTTTGTATTCTGTCATCCCACAATATTTGAAAAATATTTCAGATGACAATTCCGAAAGTATAATGTGTAATTTTGTTATATTTGTTGTGTAATTGCAATATTATGTAAAATATATATTATACTTTAATATCAAATTTATCTATGTCAAGTGTTGTATATGCACAAAAATCTCGTCATTCTTACACGTTTTTCTCGAATACATATAGTAAACTACTATTTACAGACCTGAAAATTCACCTCACATTTTTATACAATCTTCTAAAATCAATGGTAAGTCTTGTCTTTCCTGTTCTGTGTCATAACAATGTAATCTTTTCTCAATTGTTAAATACGTTTCTGAATGCAGTATATGTGCAAAAGTCTGCGTACGTTTATTTTCATCGTAGTACCATTCAAGACATTTCTCAAATATTTATGCTTGAGTTTTGTAACATAATATTGATTCATACAATTGCGCACACGCGCGCACACAGAAATTAATTGGTAGTTAAATATATTTGCACTTTTCTCTTTTGTTTTTCTTTCCTTTCATATAAATATTTTTTGTCCTTTTTTTATATACACAACATATGTAACACATGCGTGCGCGCACACACATATATAATAAATCATGCGCATGTATAATAAATCAAGAATAGAGAAATTGACTGCATTCAGGAACTGTGTGATATAGCTAGATGTATCTTTTTTCCTTTCTAATCTGATTTTTTGTGATGTACATGTGTACGCAAAAATTGGCATATTGAATCGAACTTTGCCAAGGTAAATTTTCTTCTTTGTACTAATAATACACAAACACCTTATTATTTTTCAGGAATGTGCTTAGAAAAACGAGTTTTTTACCGAGTTATATCTGGCTTGCACGCTAGCATCAATATACATTTATGCTCGAAATACTTGTTAGTCCCGCAAGATGGTTTGCGAATATCGTCCGATAATCAATGGGGTCCTAACTTGGAGGAATTACAAAGAAGATTTTCATATGAAACAACAGGCGGTGAGGGTCCTAACTGGCTAAAAAATTTATATTTCGCTTATTTACTTCAGTTGAGAGCTTTGGCCAAGGCTGCACCTTACTTGGAGAGAGAAGAATATTATACAGGAAACAAGGTAGATGACGAGGATACAAGACTGGCTATGAATGACATACTCAGCATTGTCAAGTATATATCTTAAACGAATTATATACATGATACACTCGTACATTGTGGCGATAACTGCAAACTCGACTAAAACCATCTTGACAATTTGATTGTATTTCAGGTCATTTCCGGAACACTTTAATGAGACAGTTATGTTTACCGGTGGAACACAAGCGCAATTGTTGAAAGAAGAATTTAGACAACATTTTAGAAATATTTCACGTATTATGGATTGTGTAGGATGTGAGAAATGCAAGCTATGGGGTAAATTGCAAATTCAAGGTCTGGGTACTGCGTTAAAAATACTATTCTCAGGAAAATTTGATAGATGGGAACCGACGCTCAACAATCTGAACCGAAAGTTATTCTTTTTGGAAAGAAGCGAAATTGTCGCGTTGGTGAATGCTTTTGGAAGGTATATTTTACTTATAATATTTATTACAATGAGAGAAGAGCAAAAAAGAATGCTCACTCGTCGATTAATGTGATTAATCCTTGTAGATTATCAGAAAGTATCTTCGAGTTGGACAAATTCCGCAAAATGATGAGATAACGTACCAATAATTTCTAATTAGGAAATTTCCACTACGAAACATCACATGAAAACATCACGTTATTCGCTATGTACTTATTACTTTTGATAGCGTCCCGATTTTCTTTACTAGTGCTAAAAATCTATATATAATTTATATTACATACACACACACACACGCACGCGCGCGCGCGCGCACATACACACACACACACATACATATTGTAGATTTTCACTACTGGCAATGAATATCGGAATGCAGTCTTTATTATGTATGGATCATAAATTCAGCTGCAATCTTGATATTGCATAAGGCGATGTCAGCTGTAATGACGTCCATATCTTGATTATATACAACAATTTCTTCCGATATTACTAGTAATATATGTATATATATATATATATATATAAATTCACATCGACAGATACGTATACCTAAAATATATGAATGCTGGGACCGATCCCATTCGCGTTTACTCATGTTAAGGCTCCTAGGGAGTCGCATCATCCATCTCTTTTTAATGACGTCAGAAGCGAGAAAACGCATGCTAAAAATTCTTGCAAAATACGTCGAGATAAACAGATATATTCACAAAACGACATTTGCAGTCGATTAAATACACCTCTAAAATACCCCGTACACTTTCCTTTTATTCTAAAAATCAATAGATAATCGGAAAATTAATATGACAAGATAATGAGGAAATTAGATTAAAAAAGACGATTGCACGTCACATTTATTTTATAATCATCTGTTGATTGTTAGAACAAAAGGAAAGTATACGGAGTATTTTAGAGGTGTACTTAATAGCAAATGTCGTTTTGTAGAAAAATCTGTTTATCTCGACGTACTTTGCAGGAATTTTTAGCATGCGTTTTCTCACTTCTGACGTTATTAAAAAAAGATGGATGATGCGACTCTCCAGGAGCTTAATTAATGGATTAATTTCTTTTCAGTAGCGTACTATAGATACCTTGTATCGTATATCGTAGCTATAGCTACAATATAAAAAGTAAAACTACTGACGTGAAGCTTAGTCAAAGGATGTGAATGAGTATTATACAAGTAATATAATTCATACACAAATACAATTACATATATATACATACATATAATATACATATAGAATAAGAGACTGTCCTCCGAATTAACATTTCTTTTTCCGATTTTGTGTTGTTGCTTTAGACTCTGTCTGTGATAAATACTTTATCTAAGATACATATTTTTGCATAACTTGAACGTATATTATATTTTGAAGTTAGTGTTCCGTTTATACAATACATATTTTTATAATCAGGATAAAATCATCCGTATATATTATACTTGAATGAGCAGATGCAATGTAAATATATAAATACACTTCTAAGCTAATACAACAATAAAACATCTTGCAATATATGTACACACACACATATGGTATATATATATATATATATATATATATATATATATATATTTCCGAATTATTTAAACGAAATTTGTGATATAGTATCTTGATACCTTGTTGTAAAAAAAGACAGACGAATAAATAGGAATATGTACAATAATCTATTTTCTTTTTCAATGCTATGTATAAACCGACTAATTGTAATTACAACAAAAATTTTAACAACAATAATGGTCACAAAATTATAATATACATAGCTACCTTACCCACGGACGTAAGAATACATGGACGGAGCGAATTGTCGCGAGAGTGAACTCCAAGAGGTGAGGGGAATGATTGTATGTATTGTAATCATAGACTTAGTATACATAGACTGCGTATTAGGCTGAGCGGGCCAGTGATAGAAACTTTGCTTTCCGTGAGCAGTACGCATCGGCATGGGAGAGGGTGCGCACACACTCACGCGACCGTGAGTCCGTGAAGCTCATGGAGTGCGTATCCCCTCCCGTGCTGATGCATGCTGCTCGCGCAGCAAAGTTTCTATCACTGAAGTGGGCGTCACATAATAGAAAGACATAATATACTTTGAATCGCCCATATATGTAATTATGGACGTAAGAATATATGGACGGAGCATATTATCGCGGGGTAAAGTTCAAGGGGTGAGGGGAATGATTGTATGTATTCTAATGGAGTTGACATACCATGATGGCGACGATCGCTGTTTTTATATATAGACAATAGATACAAACCTTCTACACCATGATGGCCGCGACGATGTAATCCTCTTACCCTTCGGCTTCACAGTCCCTCGTCTATAATCGCACTTTGTGCTCTGTCCATGTATTACCAGTAAACAATCTGTGCGTAGATTGACATCAGATTGGCGACAGAATCTCGAGTAGGATTTGTCGACAGATCCATATATATCCATGTCGAATTCGAGTAGGATTTGTCGACAGATCCATATATATCTGTGTCTCTAATCTACTGTCACACTGCTGACAGGGTCTGCTAACAGATAGGGCTACCGCACACAAATTGACATAACTGCATATGCATAGCATAAGACCGTATGTATCAATGAGCATCGAGTATTAAGTCACCATATTGGTGTTCGATGCTTAATATTCGATGCTCATTGGTCCATACGATCTTATGCTATGCATATGCAGTTATGTCAATTTGTGTGCGATAGCCCATACTCTGGCATCAGCTTGGCAGCAGATTGCGCGCGGAGCCTGCTGATAGACTATAGGTGCTTTCCAGTTACGTTTTGTGTTTTACACAAAACCAGTTTATTGGTTGTATATTATCTTACAAGATATTTTAGATAATGTGTGACCAATAAACTGGTTATGTGTCAAGATGTGTTAAGCAATTGGAAAGCACTCTATGACGGTATATTGGCGGCAGATTCTGTCGTTTCGTGGGTTCTTTAATTAAATCCCTATTTTTTGTTAAATTCCAACGATTTATTCATTAATATGGTTCAGATAATTGATAATGTATGATTATTTTGTCTAGATAATAAAAAAAACTAGCATTTCATATTTTGTGTCGTTTCACTTATTCGTAAGACTGGTTTCGATCCCGTGTCAGGCAGCCACCCATCTTTGATGACAATGGTGTTTACTTGACTTGACTTCAACGATCGTACGGGAACTAGTGATGCTAATGCGCTGTAACGATATTTTGGTGGATTATATTTACAATATACTCTTTTGTCGTTAAAAAAATGTAATGACATATTTCACAAGTTTCACAATACAGTATAGTAATATTCAATATTAAAATTCAATTCAATTTCCCTTACTCTTAATATTTCACTAATTGTATAGAATGAAATTTTTGGAAAAATCACCAAATTGCAGCAAATTGTATTCTTTAATGCAATTCATCATTTATTCAGTATAACTCAATATTTATCAACAATTTTTCGCAAAAATCAACAAAATATTGTAAGAGTTTTCAATAATTTTTCAAATGACTTAGGTCCTTACTTCACCAAGTTTTCATGAATAATTACAACAATTTCCAGTAACATTCAATTAATTTTATTATATTGAATACTGAAAACTTTTATATGTTATTTTTCAACAATACTCATTATCATTCCTTATATAATTTCACAATATTACATTAAATTTCATACTGAAAGGTATGATTAATTTCGATCTATGTTGAATTATTATTCAATAATAGTCATTTTCCGTTTCATCGATTTCAACGTAACTAATGGCTTCTGCACACAGGACGCGGTAATACTTGCGCGGCGGAAGTTCGCGCGACAGCCAATCAATATGTTGTTTTTTCGTAAGAGCTAGAAGTTTATTAACCTTGTTAAGAAGCAGGAAGCTTGCGACACGCAAGCGGCGAAGCCGCTTAACCTGATGCGAGAAACGAAGATGGAGGTGTGCGGAGGGAGAGAGAGAGATAGGGGTGAGGGAGGGAGGGAGGGAGGGAGAGAGAGAGAGAGAGAGAGAGAGAGAGAG